TTTCGTATTAGGGGCTGTTCATTAACTACGTAGACAATTTTTTTGGGATTAACAAAAAAGCACAGACCACTATGACAAACACGATCGATCTGAAGGGATCTTTGGCTGACTAATGAAAAGCGGGAGGCAGAACATAAAAATTGTTTTAAGGTGATACGATCCAGAACCTCGGGCTCTGATTCCACTTCACTTTTTCCAGGAGTCCATTATCTGCTATCGGAAAACATACAATAACAAAACTGTGATGACAATTTAGTGCCTCAAATTGCAATAGTGCCCGAGATTAGCTCCCTAGAAAACTCGAAGTGGCAGTAGTGTGAATCGTATCACAATAAGAACTCAGTATGTTCCACTCATAGGTTGGAAATTTTCTCAACTTCCCTGGACATAATACAGATGCATGCATTGGTTGGCATAGAAAGCTTTCAGTTAATAACTGTGACATGCAAGCTTCAGGAAAAGTCATGTGAAAAGAGGGAAATCAAAGCATTACTGAAAATTTCATAGAAGCTCGCAGAAGTCATAGCTTAATTGGACTTCTAGGCATTTTACGCTTCTGTAGCAAGTCTTTTGGTGGTCTAGATGCAAAGTAATTAATTGAAAGCTTTCCATGCCAACCAATGCATGACTCTGTATTATGTCCAGGGAAGTTGAGAAAATTTCCAACCTGGGAGTGGAACATACTGAGTTCTTAAGGTGATACGATTCAGCGTCCAAAAATCATAAGCACTTTCACTGCCACTTCGAGTTTTCTAGGGAGTTAATCTCGGGCACTATTGCGATTTGATGCACTAAATTGTCATCACAGTTTTGTTATTGTAGGGGAAATGAATGTAATGTCGGCCTAATTGTCCCTAATATGGGCCCATACATAAATTCAGCCATCGACTAAATTTTCAATAGCGACCAAAAATATCCTTTAGTACCGTCCCAATGACGCGTTCATCTAGATAAAATTGATAAATAGCAGATTTTTAGCGATGGGCCCAATCTTAGATCCATAGGCCAACATTAGAGTCATTTCCCCTATGTTTTCCGATAGCAGATAATGGACTCCTGGAAAAAGTGAAGTGGAATCAGTGCCCGAGGTTCTGGATCATATCACCTTAAAACAATTTCTATGTTTTGCCTCCCGCTTTTCATTAGTCAGCCAAAGATCCCTTCAGATCGATCGTGTTTGTCATAGTGGTCTGTGGTTTTTTGTTCATGATTCCGTTATAATAAATCTGGGACTTTGAACAGTTATCTGAAGTCTATGACTAGGAAAATTGGTAACTACACTACACACACAATGCTGATTTCTGTTTGTCAAACTTTGTAAACATATCAAACAGAAATGAATAAATAGTGAATTACTGAATTATAAGTGGGGATGGGTGGCATTCACTAGCCCGAGAATACCCTCCAGATGCTAGCCTCTTCACCAACCATACATCAGTACACACTTATCCAGTCAATAATTTTTGAATCGCGGAACTCTTCGGTAAAATTTAAAAAATCTGTGAAAAATTTAAAGTTGAGAAAATGTGTTACGAAAATTTACGGACTACTTCTGTTAACTCCGTGTAATGATGAAAAATAAAATTTGTCGATTTTATCCAATTTTTACGAATGACAGTAATTTGAATTTTAACCGAGTTTTTCAGTAATCCAAAAATCCAGTAAAAAAATACTGACTCCTGTAAAAAAATCTTAGTGTACAGACAGAAGCAGCGGAGCTCCATATTCCACCATCGAAAAAGCGCCGCTCTCAGAATTCGCCAATTCGGTGTCTCTCGTTGTGTGTTCTGCTGAGACTGAGCAATACTCGATACCGCAAAACATCTCCGCAGTTATGTTTTCTTTCGGCGCAGGAGATGTGCGGTAATCGAAAGTTAAGAATGTAGCTCAACATTTACAATAATATTCTACCAAATTTTCATGTGCGTAGTCCACTGCAACAGCCGAACGTACGAACGATGCTTGTAAATGTAAAATTTAATTTGTTATGTTCTCGTTCTTTTTTTTATATGAAAAAACACCCCGGGACAAGAAAACCATCCCGGTGGGGAAATAAGAGCATAGTACATATAGCAATTGGCGAATCAAAGCATAGCCCAAACAGGTCATGCGACATCTAGTTTTTAGATCCGCAATTACAAAAATGATGAAGTACTAAAAAAAATCATGCAATTTGACAGATATCAAAACGTCATTTATTTCATGGGCGCAATTTATTCTCAACCAATCTCACAAAGGTGGTGGCCGTGCTTGTTTTGTATTGATTCTGCGTTCCGTTTCGCATCGTTCGATTTCGCTTCATCCATTTCATTTGAATGACTATTTCTTTGCTTTATATAAACGTCGGTCTCTGTTCCGGACGCAAGCTAGTGCCAAAATCACCGATCGACATCGATGCCATCCATTGCAGGAAGGCAGCTTAGCTTAAGCTTACACACACCTGCGTAGGAGATATCGCACCCATTATTCAACATACATGGGCCGGGACCAACGGCTTTACTTCCCCCTTCCCAAGGAAAACGTGGCCAGAGATTTTTATGCACCTGGGATTGAACCCAGACCCATAGGGGTGAGAAAGCAGTCACGCTTATCACTACACCACCGGCGCCGGCTTATTTGCATGACATTTGAGCCATTTCTAATGTGCACGGCGTGCAGTAGAAAGCATAGCCATCAGGCGTGAACCTTTGATATTCAATAAAGAAAAGCTAAGTTTAAGCCTAAATGTATGCTTCCGTGGCATATTATCAGTATGCTCATTTTGCACCTTAGTGTAGGTTTTTGTGGGCCTTTTCAAATTCACCAATTTAAATAAGAATATATAAATTTTCGTTAAGCATTGTAGTAGCATAGGTAAAAGCTTCAACAAACAAATAGATGATATTACACACGGGAAAAAAAATCCGATTCCATTTTCATGAAAATCATGAAATCAAAAAACATGCCATTCCATGAAATCATAACATTGATTCATGATTTCGTTATGAAAATTCATGATCATGACCGATTCAAGCGTTACCTGGAAAACCGTGTTCACCGCACTACATAGGTATCTCTTATACGCCTTTTGCCTTTCATCTTATTAAAGTACTGTTAGTCTAGTGGTTAAAGTAAAGGTTTGGTAATTGTAAGGTTTCTTGGTTCGTGAATCCAGTCTGATGCTTTTTTTTTACATTTTTGGTTTAAAAGCTTAAAGTTTAGTTTATGATTTTAACTCGGTTGATTCATGGTTTCGGGAATCTTGGGTGCGTTACACAAACATAGCTCATGATATCATGAATATTATTCATGGTGTATGTTCTTAACATTAAAAAACGCTATGTCCATGAAATCATGAGTCATTTTTCTCATTTGGAATTTTTAATTTGTTCCCGTGCACACAAATATCGATTCATTTTGTTAATTAAACGGGGATCTTCCTTAGCTTGGGCATGATGTAAACATCCATGCTTGTAAATTAATATTTCTTTTCAAGCAATATATTAATTTGCAGGAAATATTACTTAAACATATAGACGGTTGCATACAACATTTAGAATATTTCATGAAAAATACCATTACTTTATATGATCTCTATAATATAAATTTGTATGATATGTGACGCTCCATTTATGTGCATCATATGTAACAGAAATTTTCATTACTTTTTAAACTGTGGTTTCATAATTTATTTCAAGGTTAAACATTTAATACACGTAATATTTATGTGTTGTGAAGAGTTAGTTTTAAGTGCATTAAAATTCATCCTAGGATCCCTGGGAAAAATAAAATCCCGAATCCTGGTATTTTTTAAATAAATTTTAAAAAGGACCCTCTAAAATTAATACCTTGAAACACTTCCGTGATTTGGTGTCAATAGTGATTTTTTTCATTCTAACAAGGACCGTCTATTGACATAAACAAATAGATTAAAACTTATCCACATGGATGGTGCCAAAATCAAACTTTCTACTCTGATACGTCTCAAATTGCAACGACTGTTTATCTCCGATCTCATAACAGGCAACATAGACTGTCCTGAACTTCTGAAATTGATTCGGTGGAATACTCATCTTCGTCGATTCCATAATTTCCTGTTACTGACAATTCCATTTAACAGAACGAACATTGGATTCAATAATTGGTTTTATTATTGTTTGCGTTCCTATAATGATGTTTGTAACGAATTTGGCTTTATTTTGACCAAAACTGGGTTTAGTGCTAGAATAAGAGGTTTAGATTAAATTAGTTTTTAAGTAATCAATCTGTACGACGTAGTTGACAATGGTGAACAAAATAAATAGCTATTATGGTAACTTGACGCCTTTAACAACTCATAAAAATAAACAACTCTTCTGAAGATGTCAAAATACCAACGGAGATCAACGGGAAATCTAGAAGACCTCAGCTCACTCAATTGTGTTCAGTTCTGACCGATTGAGAAATGTTGTTTAATATAGAGCTTTATTTTGAAAAAAAGAAAAACAGCATTTGAAATCATTTAGGCCACTGTCCAGTCCCATAAACATAAGCCTGTGCGAAAAATGGTAGACTGGACTGATGAAGGTTTAGGTGTTGATTGATTGTTAGCTTGCAAATTGATATAGCAGTTTAAGTATGTATTACGACTCTATACTATTTTTTAAAGAGACTTTACGATAGCTTTGCTGAATTTCGTTGTTAAATTCTTTTACCAATCTAGCTGTTAAAATAATTAATTGGAGAACATTTACATGACGAAGAGGTTTTCAATTGAATTCCACTGAAATTGCCTCTGGTATATTATATTCACTGTTTAGACTGACGAGAAACTTTTATACAAGCTACTGTTAGTATTCATCCACGGTGGATATGATGAAGAGCGTTTAAATTCTCGCAAAAACTGTGTTCCTTGTTGATGCGGAACTTTTGTAAATGATTTCAATTTATACTGCAGCATATTTCAATATCCATTTAACGACGAAAGTGCTTTTCATTTGCTGAATCCATAATAGCTTCAAAAGCACTTAGTATTTACTCACATCGTGCTAATAATTCCCAATCACAAAATAAGCTGCTTTCGACGTTTAGTTATTCCGCTGAGCGTAGATTTATCCATTAACTTCAAATTATATACTTGCTAAAAGCAGTACGAGATCCCTAGCAGCATATGGCAGCACATGAACACAGCAGAACAAGTTTTTCAACTTTTTGTTATTCACTTTTCGCTTATTGTTGAAGGTATCACTTTTGTAAGTACACATTCACACTTTCAGTTTGCACTTATCACTTGAGAGCTCCCCAATGTCCCGGTCTGCGGATCTATCCTTAAATTTTCCCGCCCAAGATCCAATGAACGCCTCGAACTCTCACGGTGAACTGAATCTTGGCATCGCCTTGCAAGGACATTATAAAAGCAGTGATTTTCCTATGTCGGGAAAAGTGCGAATTGGCGGCGAGAGTGCACGGATCCTGGCCAAAACAGAGAGCATCCAGCATCGCGCCTTTTTATTTGCTCTCTCTCTCTCTCTCTCTGATGTAGACAGCAGCCGACAGTGATAAACAAAGAACCGAACGCCACAGCTCACGTGCTTCCCATTATGTGTGGAACCCTTGAAGCTATATGCGCCATGCTATTCGATTGTCGGGGTTTGTTTTATCACCATGCACGTTTCAGTGATAACCACAAGCAAATTTCTCACGGTACCAAAACATCGAAACCGAACGGATGCTGCTCTCTGTCTCACTTTCTCTGGGAACATGCGCCTTTGTCATGTTGTTGTCAGGCTCAGCTTTTACCGTTGTCCGTGTCCTGTCTAATGCTTCCTAGTCATGGTTTGATGCTTTTCCCCGTGTTATCGCAAAATCATATTGAAGCATCGCTCGCTCGCTCGCTTTTCACCTCACCTCCACTGATATCAGCATTGCAAACGAGCTCCGAAATTTGCTAACGTAAGGCAAAACGAGAAAAAATGTCTTTATTATAACGCACAGAAGCTAATTTATGGCCGCATAATATCGTTACCACTTGAAGCCTGTTTATGGGGCTATCATGGCCCTGGGTGCCGACGGGGTTAAATTTACGCTATCAGCAATAAATGATGATACTGAAATATGTTTTTCAGAATACTGCTTTATAATTTGAACCCCTGAATGGGAACCAAATTTAATAAACCATACACATAATTTTTAGATGCATAAAATTGATTACAGTTTTATGAATTTAAACGTAGGCAGCTTAGGGAAGAAACGTGCACGATCTTTTTCGCCTCGTAAATTCTTCGACAAAGGAAATGTGTTGGTATCCGGCAGAAGGAAATTCACTTTCTGCATTACATACGAAGGATGTCTTGCGTTTTCATTTCAGAAGGCTTCGATTTTTTTTTTATATAATAGTGTTCTGTCGATATGATGATGTAAGTACTAAGTAGTACAGCGCCCTGTGCGATATAACAGTAAAATTAGCATTTTTAGCGAAATTAAGTTGGAATGGCTAGAACCATCAATTTAAAGGGTGTGTTAATTAGGGTGCTACAAAATTCAAATCTTCATCAATCATTACCAACTTCTGCACAGGTTCATATTATGGGGTCATGAATCGAGGGCGCACTTAAAACACCACATGACAATTTACGTATGAACACAGTTATCTTTTATTTATGTCGAGAAAAAACTAAACACCTTTTGATTTGTTTTCCTTCGATTTATTTTCCTGAGTACCAATGCTACCGACACCAGGGAGGCAGCTCTCACACCTGGACCCTACCGATCGACCCAAAAACCGTCGAACGTACCTGTGAGCAGACGAGTTATCGTACTATGAGCGCATGAGTGAATACACAGGGCCTGATAATCACAACGCCCGTGGTTAGAATCCAGTTTTCACACATTTTTATTTTTCTGTCAAAAAACACGCAGCGGTTAACTAAATCGTGCAGTTTTTAATCATCTCCGAGTAACCGACAGATCTAAGAGAGAGAGCACGTACTGAATTTTTTTTAGCCGTACCGGTGGTGTAGTGGTAGTGTAGGGAAATAAAGCCGTTGGTCCCTGGTCCATGAGTTGATGGGTCGGTCCAGGTGTGGGAGCTGCCTCCCCTGAGTCGGTAGTATTGTTAATCTGTACGGAAAACAAGATCGCCGGCGCCGGTGGTGTACTGGTAAACGTGACTGCTTTCTCACCCAATGGGTCTGGGTTTAATCCCAGCCGAGGTCGGTGGTATTTTTCCAAGGCAAAAAATCTCTGGTCACGTCACGGTAGTAAAGAAGTTGGTGCCGGCTCATGTGTGTTGAATGGGTGCGGTATCGTACGCAGTTGTGTGGCAGCTGCCTTCCTGTGCCCATTAGATTGCCGTCAATGGGTGGCAGTCGATGTCCGTCGTTGATTGGCACTAGATTGCGGAACAGTGGCCGACGTTAAATAAAGGAATGAAGAAGAAGGAGAAGGAGAAGAAGAATAAAACAAGATTGTTTTTATCCAGCTCGTTTATTTGGAAGGCTTAATCGTCTTAGCTTTACGGAGCCGTAGAAAACAAGATCGACAGGAAACAAATCAAGAATAAAAAAAAAACCCACAGTTTGATTTATAATTCCAATATTTGCAAGGAGGTATGTGCAGCAAACGGTAAAGAATGAATCTAGATAGAGCTGGAATTAGGGCGTAACAGCTTTTGTAAACAATGACTTCTCTCGATGATTTCTCGGAAGGCATGGCTCTGCCTGGCAAATCGACATCACCATCGAGTAGAGGAAGACTTCTCCTACCCGATGAATATGTTGGTTTGTGTAGGCGTGCCTTGAATTCCGAGAAATCAACAAGAGAAGTCATTGTTTACAAAGACTGTTACGCCCTAATTCCAGCTCTATCTAGGAATAATGTTTAAAGGTAGCACAAATGGTTTGAAGTTTGAATGGAGATTTAAGCGTATTACTATGGGATTTTCCCTACTATCGCGCTATATTTATACAAGTTATCCAAGTTGTCCAATGGTATCCTCATTTTATGCGTGGTTCCCATGACAACGATAAATAAGCCTGTTGGTTGATGTAATGTTTTTTTAATTCGTTTATTTGGTAAGGCTCATTTGTCTTCTTCCATCTTCTACAGCAAGTTTTTTTTTTAACTTTCATTGAAAGTTTCTATTCAATCGTTTGAAACTACCGCAGAATTCGACAGCCCTTGAAGTTTCCTCCGACTTCCTTTATTAGCAATATTGGCTTCGCATAGGAATGGCTTCTGATTTTCCATAAAGTTTTTCCTGGCCTCCCCGAAAATTTCTTCAGGCTTCTCTTGGAAAATTCTCCCCACTTCTTGTGGAACATTATTCCGATTTACTTTAGAAGATATTCAAATTTATCTGGTAGTTAATTCAAACTTTCTCTTAGAAGTTTCTTTTCGCTCCTCTGGAAAATTTCTTATTACTTTCTCGCAAAAATATTTCTAAATTTTATTCCCGGGAAATAAGAACAGATTCGTGATTTTTGCTAAATTTCCCGAGAGCTGTTTCCTGGGAAGTCCCTAGTATGAAACTCTAGTTCTAGTCAGGGATCGTCGGGAAGCACGCGCACAGCTCAAAAAAGGGTTGTGCTGTTCGCTATTAGTCTCCCGCACTCGATTTTTATGAGAACAGAGAACACACAAATTTGAGAGACGTGCCTCATATTGGAGCGCACAAAAATGCCCAAAGAGAGCTCACAATTAGCTCAAGTTAGTTAGTCAACGAAGTTATTGATGGCAGCTGGTTCTTGGGCATTACAGTTGTACGTGGCATGAAGACGGGTAATTATGGTGTTTTGTATTATTCTCCCAGTTCTAGTGACCAGCGTTTTGTTGAAGTTTTAGAGAACTGGCTCGAGACATTTCTTGATTCTAGTAAATTAAATATATTGGCTGGTGATTTTAATATTAATTGGCGTGATAACCATAATTCGAATCATTTGAAGTGTTTAGCTGAGTTTTTTTTTAATTTAAAGCAAACGGTTAATGAATATACGCGTATTTCCAGGCACAGTAGAACTTTAATTGACCACGTTTATTCCAATTTTGATTCCATTTGTTTAGTTACGGATACTGATTTGAAAATAACCGATCATGAGACTTTAGTGATTAATGTCTTAGACCATGATAACGATAATTTTGTAAAATTGAAGTGCTGGAGGAAATATTCGAAGCAAGCTGTTTCAAATCTTGTTGAGAGAAGCCTGGATTTTCCATTAGCGGACGGTAATTTAGATGAATCTACAGCTGTTCTTAATAACGCTTTGGAAACGTGTACCAATCAACTAGTTGAGCAAAAGTTTGTTTCTTTGAAAAACTCGAACAGCTGGTACAATTTGGATCTTTTGCGTCTTAAACAGAAAAGCGACAAATGGTACAAAAAGTTTTGTAGATCTAATAATGACAATCATTGGAATAGGTACACAATCGCGCGTAATAAGTATTCACAATCGATAAAGAAAACTCGTTGTGAATATGTTCAAAGGAAGATTGATCAGCATCAAAACAACAGCAAAGAGTTATGGAAAATTTTGAAATCTTTATTAAAACCAAGTAATTGCAAACCGCGGTCCATAACTTATAATGGCACATTAGAACAGTCAGAACAAGTAATTGCAGCTAAGTTTAATGATTATTTCGTAGACAGTGTTTCATTGATTAATCAATCCATTGAATTGGTCGATGAACCTGACGAAATAAAACAGCCAGTTAATAGTAGTTGCAGATTTGAAGTTTTTCACCCAATTACATTAGATGAACTTGAGTTATTTGTTTTTCATTAGGAAAATCGGCTGGAGTAGATAATGTTAATGCTAGAGTTATTCAAGATTGCTTTCATGTCATTGGCCACATCTTTCTGGACCTTATTAATACATCATTGCAAAATGGACATGTGCCACAAATTTGGAAGGAATCCTTACTGGTTCCTATTCAAAAAGTTGCTGGAACGATTAAAGCCAAAGAGTTTCGTCCCATCAACATGCTGCACACATGAGAGAAAATCTTAGAACTTGTTGTTAAAGGCCAGCTGTTGGAGTATTTGAATAGCAACTCTTTGTTGATACACTGGAACCTCAATTTACGAACCAAAACGGGGGTTCGTAAATCGAATTAGTGCGTAAAAGAAAACCTCGTTATTTGGGATTTACTTCGTAAAAAGAAAACTCGTTATTTGGGATTTACTTCGTAAAAAGAGGTTTTTGAAAATATTGTCAAATACCCCACAATATGGGTATTTTTTGGAATCAGGGTGACGTGTATGGACCGGAAATCGATGTCTGACGCCATTTTGAAATCCAAGATGGCGGCTTCCGGTTACAGAAAAACTTCAAAATTCTGTCATATACCACAC